TTCTTCTCTCTTCACTTCCTCTCTCCTCACTTCCTCTCTCTTCACTTCCTCTCTCCTCACTTCCTCTCTCCTCACTTCCTCTCTCTTCACTTCCTCTCTCCTCACTTCCTCTCTCTTCACTTCCTCTCTCCTCACTTCCTCTCTCCTCACTTCCTCTCTCCTCACTTCCTCTCTCCTCACTTCCTCTCTCTTCACTTCCTCTCTCCTCACTTCCTCTCTCCTCACTTCCTCTCTCTTCACTTCCTCTCTCTTCACTTCCTCTCTCTTCACTTCCTCTCTCTTCACTTCCTCTCTCTTCACTTCCTCTCTCTTCACTTCCTCTCTCCTCACTTCCTCTCTCTTCACTTCCTCTCTCCTCACTTCCTCTCTCTTCACTTACTCTCTCTTCACTTCCTCTCTCTTCACTTACTCTCTTTTCACTTCCTCTCTCCTCACTTCCTCTCTCTTCACTTCCTCTCTCCTCACTTCCTCTCTCTTCACTTCCTCTCTCCTTAGTTCCTTTCTCTTCACTTCCACTCTCCTTAGTTCCTTTCTCTTCACTTCCTCTCTCCTTAGTTCCTTTCTCTTCACTTCCTCTCTCCTTAGTTCCTTTCTCTTCACTTCCACTCTCCTCACTTCCTCTCTCCTCACTTCCTCTCTCCTTAGTTCCTTTCTCTTCACTTCCACTCTCATTAGTTCCTTTCTCTTCACTTCCACTCTCCTTAGTTCCTCTCTCCTCACTTCCTCTCTCCTTAGTTCCTTTCTCTTCACTTCCACTCTCCTCACTTCCTCTCTCCTCACTTCCTCTCTCCTTAGTTCCTTTCTCTTCACTTCCACTCTCCTCACTTCCTCTCTCCTCACTTCCTCTCTCCTCACTTCCTCTCTCCTTAGTTCCTTTCTCTTCACTTCCTTTCTCCTCACTTCCTTTCTCCTCACTTCCTCTCTCCTCACTTCCTTTCTCCTCACTTCCTTCCTCCCCGTCAGATTTGTGATATCAGTATCTCATTCTTGTCAGTCTTTTTACCCCCCCTCCCCTTTTTTTTCAACCTTTGTGTATTTCTTTTTTTCTGCCCCCCCCCCCCCGCCCTGCCCGAGCGTGAGTCTTGACCTTGAAAATGTACCGTTTCTTGTGACCTTGACCTATTTAAGTATACACAAGGGGACAATGGCGACAGTTTGGAGGGCTTGCTTCAACTCCAACCCCCACCCCCCAATATGCTCTCCTTCCCTTAACCCACTATCTTACATAGAATGTCCACACCAATTCTAGCCCCTCATTTACCACTTGATATTTCTACCGACCCAGCGAGTGACCCCAGGCGCCCACACGAGAAGGTGCCCCAGCTGTTAGCCGCTGTCCTAAGACAAGTGAGAGCCGGCCTAGATTTCCTGTCGACACCCAACCACCCGAGATGGACCAGATGCCTGCCAACCCAAAAATCTCTGTGGACATTTTCCTTTTAGAAACATTTATTTTCTAGATCAATGGATAAATCCTGAAATATCCTGTCTTTTGCCGTGAGTGGTGTTCGGGGGTGGGGGGGGGGGGGGGGGGAGTATTGACCACATGTGGCAGCGTTGAGGAATTTGTGTAAATGTGTGGATATAGAAGTCGCTGATCTCAGATCAGCCGATGACGTAGCATATGTGAGATATCATGATGCTGCCTCTGTGTGCTGACAGATGATTGATGTGTGATGATGTTCCCTCTGTGTGCTGACAGATGATTGATGTGTGATGATGTTCCCTCTGTGTGCTGACAGATGATTGATGTGTGATGATGTTCCCTCTGTGTGCTTACAGATGATTGATGTGTGATGATGCTGCCTCTGTGTGCTGACAGATGATTGATGTGTGATGATGTTCCCTCTGTGTGCTGACAGATGATTGATGTGTGATGATGCTGCCTCTGTGTGCTGACAGATGATTGATGTGTGATGATGCTGCCTCTGTGTGCTGACAGATGATTGATGTGTGATGATGCTCCCTTTGTGTGCTGACAGATGATTGATGTATTATGATGCTCCCTCTGTGTGATGAAAGATGATTGATGTGTTATGATGACTCTCACATATACGGGTGTCGGATTGAATGTTAGATTCACAAACAGGTTAGGTGTCGGATTGAATGTTAGCTTTCACAAGCAAGTGGGGTGTCGGATTGAATGTTAGCTTTCACAAGCAAGTGGGCTGTCGGATTGAATGTTGGCTTTCACAAGTATGTGTCGGATTAAATGTTAGCTTTCACAAGGAAGTGGGTGTCGGATTGAATGTTAGCTTTTACAAGCAGGTGTTGGTTTGAATGTTAGCTTTTACAAGCAGGTGTTGGTTTGAATGTAAGCTTTCATAAACAGGTGGGGTGTCGGATTGAATGTTAGCCTTTACAAGCAGGTGTCGGATTGAATGTTAGCTTTCACAAACAGGTGTCGGATTGAATGTTAGCTTTCACAAGCAAGTGGGGTATCGGATTGAATGTTAGCTTTTACAAGCAGGTGTTGGTTTGAATGTAAGCTTTCATAAACAGGTGGGGTGTCGGATTGAATGTTAGCTTTCACGAACAGGTGGGGTGTCGGATTGAATGTTAGCAACCGACTAGACTTGGCAAATTAAACCACTCCACAACACTACTCATCGCTGAACAAGCCTACTTCGATGACCAAACCACACACGTAGGCGCACATATTCCAAGTCTGAATAAAAAGGGCACGTGGGCGCTATTCATAAACCATTATCAAACATGAATTACTATAATTACTCTAACTAACTAGAACTCCTTCGTGAATTACATTCTTTAACATCTAACTATACAAATATCCAAAGACTGCAATATAGAAGCCCCACATGTTGGGCGCCATTTGTGCTAGCAGGAAGAAAGAAGGAGGAAAAACAGAGGAATGGAGAGATAAAGAAGAAAATTGTGATTAAAACAAAAGAAATACTTCCCCTCTAAACAGCAAAAAAAAAAAAAAAAAAAAAAACACACACACACAAGAAAGTAAAGAAAAGACGGGTTCTTCTGCGCAGAGATCCTATAATATTTCACTGAGACCCAAACTATGAATATCTGTATAGTGAGTTACATGACGTCGACCTAACTACATGGGTACACACACCTAGACGAACCACGGACTACAGATCCAAAATTAAATCAAGCAAATGAATTATAATCACATTAAACAGCTTTTTATTTTACTTAACATAACATCAGCGTGGTCCACAAATAACATTAACAACAACCAAGGTGCTCGACCAGAATCTAAAGTACTGACTATCTCCAGCTAACGAGTACCTATGGTAATGACACCATATGCTCAGCGAGATTACAATATCACAACTTAACTATGTCCCCCCTCCCCAAGCTGTCTGGTGTCAAGAGCACTATAAACCTTGTTGAACAATGTCATTTACCGATATGTGTTCCCCCCCCCCACCCCCACCCCCCAGCTGTTTGATGCCCAGACTGCCCAAATTTATCGTGTTTTGTTTAGCCTTACATTGATCTAGAACACGGCGCCAAATTGGCATATCTACCCCCAACTCTGCATTATGCATGAGCCAGGACCCCTTGGTGAACTGGAAGCCAAACTATTGGCGCGGCTGTGCAAGAATATACGTTGACGTATTGATCACTCACAGGGAACAGATTTGTTGCCAAGTTTCTTTTCTTCCAGCAACAATTAATTGTATTTATTTAGGCGTTCGTTCATTACACTTTTATGTATTTATTTTCTACTTTGTGTGTTCATTTATTTAGTGGGACACAGATTCGCCGTGTCAGGTCTGAGGCACACGCAACATCGACAATCTAAAGTGATGCCAAAACTGTTTCTCATCTTCTCACTCTAGTCATTTCATAACATGGTCGCAGAATAACTGATCGAGCGTCAAAACACATCGCCGAGTCAATCACTGGCATCTCATAGACCAGATGGACTCTTGTTGTCTGTAGTCTTGTATCTTTAGTCTTAAATCTGTAGTCGTAAATGTGGTCTTGTGTCTCTTGTGTCTTTAGTCTTGTTTCTGCAGTCTTGTGACTGTAGTCTTGTATTTTTAGTCTTAAATCTACGCTTTTAATGTGGTCTTCTGTCTTTAGTCTTTTGTCTGTGGTCCTGTTTTTGTAGTTTTGTGTCTGTAGTCTTGTGTCTGTAGTCTTGTGTCTAAAGTCTTGTGTCTGTATTCTCGTTTCTGTAGTCTTGTGTCTGTATTCTTGTGTCTGTAGTCGTGTGTCTGTAGTCGTGTGTCTGTAGTCGTGTGTCTGTAGTCGTGTGTCTGTAGTCGTGTGTCTGTAGTCTTGTTTCTGTAGTCGTGTGTCTATAGTCTTGTGTCTTTAGTCTTGTTTCTGTAGTCTTGTATCTTTATTTTTAAATCAATTGTCTTATATGTGGTCTTGTGTCTTTAGTCTTGTGTGTGTAGTCTTGTGTCTGTAGTCTTGTGTCTTTAGTCTTGTGTGTGTAGTCTTGTGTCTGTAGCCTTGTGTCTGTAGTCTTGTGTCTGTAGTCTTGTGTCTTTAGTCTGGTGTCTGTAGTTTTGTGCCTGTAGTCTTGTTCCTGTACACGTCATATATTTATGTGTGCGCTATTGTGTTTGATGTCTGTGCAGACTCTAGTGTCTGTAGTCTTGTGTCTGTAGTCTTGTGTCTGTAGTCTTGTGTCTGTAGTATTATGTCTGTAGCCTTGTCTCCATAGTCTTGTGTCTGTAGTCTTGTGTTTGTCTGTAGTCTTGTTTATGTAGTCTTGTCTTTAGTCTTTGTCTAGAATCTATGTGATTAGTTGGTTGAATTGCTGCTTGACTGTCTGAGTGACTGGCTGGTTGTCTTGTCTGTCTGTGTAGTTAGCTGGTTGTCTGTCTGAGTGACAAGCTGGGTGGCAGACAGCCTTCACAAGTTAAACATATAAGTTTGATTCCATGACAGACCTCACGATGAGCTGACGCCGCCAGCGAATATCTCCAGTTGCAGCAGCCTGACTTCCTAGCTGTTCTGGCTTGTGTGTCTGTCAGCGGAGGCGGCAAGTGGTGGCAGACATGGAGACCCTGGACGTCAACCAGCACCGCTTCGCTAACGTCATCAGCGACATCAACAAAGAACTGCAGGACAGAGGTAACCTCGTCATTCCATCTTTCTCTTTTGTGTCTATGTGTCTGTATGAGTATCTGTGTCTACATGGGTCTGTGCGTGTGTTTGCTTGTATGTGTGTTCTACGTGAATGTAGCTGTGTGTTTGCCTGCGTGTGTGTTTGTATATGCGTGTCATTGTTGTGTTTGTGTCTTTGTATGTGCCAGTGTGTGTATGTGTGTCTGCGTGAATGCGTGTGTAAATGCTCGTCTCTGTTTGTGTGTCCGTGGGTGTGTGTCTGCGTGTATCTGTGCGTGCGCCTGTGTGTATGAATGCCTGCGTATGCTTTTGTGTGTGTGTTTCCGTGGTTGTGTGTATGTGTCTGCGTAAGCATCAGCGTGTGTGTGTGTGTGTGTGTGTGTGTGTGTGTGTGTCTGCGATTGTGTGTATGTTTGTGTGTCTCCGAGTGTATCTGTGTGTGTTTGTCTGCGTGTGTGTGTATGCCGCTTTGTGTGTGTGTGTGTGTGTGTGTGTAGCATGTGTGTATCTGTGTCTGTGTATTTGCTTGTGTGATTGGGTATGTGCGCGTATGTCTGTGTGTGTGTCTGCATTTGTTTCTGTGGGTGTGTCTGTGTGTATCTGTATGTTTGTATGTGTGTGGAATGTGCGTGTCTGTGTGGGTATGTAGGTATGTGTGTGGGTAAATGGGGTGTGTTAATGTGTGTGAAGGTATGTGGGTGTGTTTAAGTGAGTGGGTGGGTGGGTGTGTGTGTGTGTGCATTTTACAACCCATGTTTTTGTGCTTTTTTTCCCTTATTGTTTTTTTTTTTATTCATAATATGCATATTATCATCTGAATATAACATGCTTTTTGATAAAATACAGCTGCAGTGTGAAAGACCGGAAGGGCCGAATGTAAGACGAGCTTGCGTGCCCAATTTGTGACCCTTTGAAAATAAAGTTCGTTCGTTCGTTCTCTTTCTCTCTCTCTCTCTCTCTCTCCATCTCTCTCACATACACACACACACATACACAAACCCGCTCACACACCCGCTCACAGGCGCGCGTACACACACAGCACATACCATAAATAACACTGCGTCAAAGATGTCATACGATTGGCTTTCATGTCTTTGTGTTGTTGTTGTAGAACCCGTCAGTTGTTGTTGTTGTAGAACCCGTCAGTTGTTGTTGTAGAACCCGTCAGTTGTTGTTGTTGTAGAACCCGTCAGTTGTTGTTGTTGTAGAACCCGTCAGTTGTTGTTGTTGTAGAACCCGTCAGTTGTTGCTGTTGTAGAACCCGTCAGTTGTTGCTGTTGTAGAACCCGTCAGTTGTTGTTGTTGTAGAACCCGTCAGTTGTTGTGCCTGTCTTTGGTTTTGTTGAAATGTTTATAGCGAGCTCAACACAGTCTCCCTCCCCCACCCCTTCCCACACACACACGCCTGCCTCTCTCTCTCACACAAGCACACACACACACGCCTGCCTCTCTCTCACACAAGCACACACACACACACACACGCCTGCCCCTCTCTCACACAAGCACACACACACACGCCTGCCTCTCTCACACAAGCACACACACACACGCCTGCCTCTCTCTCTCTCACGCACATATACACTTACCTCTCTCTCTCTCTCTCTCACATTCACACGCACACACACACACACTCTCTCTCAACACACACACACACTCATCTCTCTCTTTCACATACACATAAACACACTTACCTCACGCACAAACACAACCACCTCTCTCTCATACACATACTCACCTCCTTTTCACACACACACTGACCTATCTCACGCACATATACACTAATCTCACTCTCTTACACGCACACACAGACGCTCACCTATGTCTCTGACACGCACACACACACACCTCACACACTCACAACTGTCTTTTTCACGCACATACACACACTCACCTCTCTCTCACACACACAACTCGCCTCTCTTTCACGCATATATATATACACACCTCTCTCTCACACACGCACACACATAGGCTCAACTTTGTCTCTGACACGCACACGCTCACACACACACATAAACTCACCTCACACACATAAAGACACTCACCTCTCATACACACGTTCAGCTCTCGCTTTCTCAATTATACATAACACACACAAACGCTCACCTGTCTCGTTCACACACATACACCAAGCTCTCTCTTTCATACACACACACGCTCCTTTCTCTCTCTCTCTCTCTCTCTCTCTCTCTCTCTCTCATACACACACAAGCTCTCCTCTCTCTCACACACATACATACACACATCTCTCTCTCTCACACACACACACGTACTCACCTCTCTCACACACATATTCACCTGTCTTTCTCACACACACACACACACACACGTACTCACCTCTCTCACACACATATTCACCTCTCTCACACACACACACGTATTCACCTCTCTCACACACATATTCACCTGTCTCTCTCTCACACACAAGCACACACACACACACACAAGCACACACACACACACTTGTGCCAGTCACCCAACCTGTCTACTGACCCGTTGTCCACCAACAGGCTACCTGGCCCACGAAGATCTGCCGGTCAACGATATGTCTGTGGAGATGACCTGTCCAGTGCCCAAAGCCAAGGCCCAGCTGCGACAGCTGATGTCAGAGATGAGTAAGTTGTCATGTGACCAGCTCTGGTCCTCTTTTGCTAGAACTGAATCTTTACAAATGTCAACTTTTGCATTTTAAGGTTAAGCTTGCATTTTATGATTCCAATACTGACACTGTCTGCTGTCTTTACCCTCGAGGATACTGGCACTGTCTGCTGTCTTTATTCTCGAGGGTACTGGCACTGTCTGCTGTCTTTATTCTCGAGGGTACTGGCACTGTCTGCTGTCTTTATTCTCGAGGATACTGGCACTGTCTGCTGTCTTTATTCTCGAGGATACTGGCACTGTCTGCTGTCTTTATTCTCGAGGGTACTGACACTGTCTGCTGTCTTTATTCTCGAGGGTACTGGCACTGTCTGCTGTCTTTATTCTCGAGGGTACTGACACTGTCTGCTGTCTTTATTCTCGAGGGTACTGGCACTGTCTGCTGTCTTTATTCTCGAGGGTACTGACACTGTCTGCTGTCTTTATAATTGTTTATACTATCTAATTACATGTTTAGAGAAATAGGGCGAATACATCATCATAAACGTCTACATCGTGACGTCCTATCCCCGTATGGATCCCGGGCACTATTGTAGGCACAGCTAGACTAGATCCACTGCCTCTCCAACAATTCATTACTATTGATTTAGTTTTTCCCCTGGCAAAGATCCACGCTGGTAATTCTATCATACAGATTCAAATCTGTCTGTTGTGCACCACCACCTTAATGAATGTTTGTAGTTTACTACGAATAATTGTTTTCATTGCATTCCATAATTCTACTCCATACAGCAATACTGAACTGACATTAAATATTCTGAGCTTGGTAGAAGTTTTCATTTTCTGTGACTTTTACAAATGTCATTATGTTATCAGGCTCCCCTTGACCTTCACAATCAGCTGTTTTCAATCTGCTGTGAAACCTTTGACAGTCCAGAAATGGTCAGATGGTAGATTGTGTCCCCTGTTTGCTGAAGACAAACAGTGGGCTCGCAAGTGAAACAGCAGAGCCAGAAGCAAGGACTTCAATCAGAAATAGGACTGGATGCAGAACTACACTAGGAATGATCACATCCAGTTCAAACATTCAGCTTACAAGCACTGGGGATAGATGATATAGCACTGTGCCCAAATGGCACGACACTATGACCAAATGACATGGCACTGTGACCAGATGACATGACACTGTGACCAGATGACATGACACTGGTTTAACGAACACTGTAAATGAGGTAGCAAAGCCCAGCTGTACAAACTAAATAAATTCGACAGAATCAACCAAGAAATGCTCCATGGTTTGAGACATGCAGCAATTATTCCCATCCAAAAGAAGAAATACAAAACAAGAGATTGTGCATCATTAGAGAAATGTTGCTTGTCAGTCCTCTGCAAAAATATCCTGCACAATTGTAGAGCTTTGGATGACCTGTGGTCACCCAGTCAAGGCTGTGTTATTAGCAGCAGAGCTGTGCTGACAGAAAAGCTGGATCTTATTTTTCTGAGCACATAATCATCCCAGTCCATTAGCAGGCAATCTGACAACTGCTGGACTCTGCTTACACTGACTACAATCAACTTATTACAAGATGGTACACCACAATCAACTTATTACAAGATGTTACACTACAATCAACTTATTACAAGATGTTACACTACAATCAACTTATTACAAGATGTTACACTACAATCAACTTACTACAAGATGTTACACTACAATCAACTTATTACAAGATGTTACACCACAATCAACTTGTTACAAGATGTTACACCACAATCAACTTTTTACAAGATGTTACACCACAATCAATTTGTTACAAGATGTTACACCACAATCAACTTGTTACAAGATGTTACCCCAGAATCAACTTATTACAAGATGTTATACCACAGTCAACGTGTTAAAAATTGTTACAACAGAATCAACTTTTCCCCCGTGTGGGTTGCGGGGCCCCATTGTGGGGAAAACAAGAATAGACCCACTGCCTCCCGCATGTCGTAAGAGTCGACTAATTGGGGAGCTTCCTTTGAAGTCGGAGTGCATCTGCCGAAGAGGCAAGGAACCAACAGTCTGTATTCAAGCGAATGAGATCTGTAAAACTGATGCACATGCAACACTCAGGTTCTGGAGCAGGACTGCAGTTCAGTAGTGGACGAGCAACCAGAACCTTCCGCCAGAGTTTACAGCTGGTGAACGTGAAGAAGAAGGAGAAGAATCAACTTGTTACAAAATGTTACAACAAGATCAACTTGTTACAAGATGTTACACTAGAATCAACTTATTACATGATCTTGTATCACAGTCAACTTATTACAAGATCTTACATCACAATCAGCTTTTTACAAAATATGCATGCAGTCACTAGGACTAGGGTGTGTGCACCACATTCTCACAGATAATCATCCTTTCCCCCAAATCTGAAAACAGAACCCCACACAGCTCAACTGAACCAGTGCAACAGTGGAGAAGAAATTATACTGGATGTGATGTCTGGTCTTGCTGGGAAGGAGACACCTGACATACACATGCTGAGGAGGAGATATGTCAGAGACATCACCTGACATACACAGACACAAACTGAGGAGGAGATATGTCAGAGACATCACCTGATATACACAGACACAAACTAGGGAGGAGATATGTCAGAGACATCACCTGACATACACAGACACAAACTGAGGAGGAGATATGTCAGAGACATCACCTGACATACACAGACACAAACTAGGGAGGAGATATGTCAGAGACATCACCTGATATACACAGACACAAACTGGGGAGGAGATATGTCAGAGACATCACCTGATATACACAGACACAAACTAGGGAGGAGATATGTCAGAGACATCACCTGATATACACAGACACAAACTGGGGAGGAGATATGTCAGAGACATCACCTGATATACACAGACACAAACTAGGGAGGAGATATGTCAGAGACATCACCTGATATACACAGACACAAACTGGGGAGGAGATATGTCAGAGACATCACCTGATATACACAGACACAAACTGGGGAGGAGATATGTCAGAGACATCACCTGATATACACAGACACAAACTGGGGAGGAGATATGTCAGAGACATCACCTGACATACACAGACACAAACTGAGGAGGAGATATGTCAGAGACATCACCTGACATACACAGACACAAACTAGGGAGGAGATATGTCAGAGACATCACCTGATATACACAGACACAAACTGGGGAGGAGATATGTCAGAGACATCACCTGATATACACAGACACAAACTAGGGAGGAGATATGTCAGAGACATCACCTGATATACACAGACACAAACTGGGGAGGAGACATGTCAGAGACATCACCTGATATACACAGACACAAACTGAGGAGGAGACATGTCAGAGATGGCACCTGATATACACAGACACAAACTCAGGAGTCATGTCAGAGATGGCACCTGATATACACAGACACAAACTGAGGAGGAGACATGTCAGAGATGGCACCTGACATACACAGACACAAACTGAGGAGACATGTCAGAGATGGCACCTGATATACACAGACACAAACTGAGGAGTCATGTCAGAGATGGCACCTGACATACACAGACACAAACTGGGGAGGAGACATGTCAGAGATGGCACCTGATATACACAGACACAAACTGGGGAGGAGACATGTCAGAGACATCACCTGATATACACAGACACAAACTGGGGAGGAGACATGTCAGAGACATCACCTGATATACACAGACACAAACTGGGGAGGAGACATGTCAGAGATGGCACCTGACATACACAGACACAATCTGGGGAGGAGACATGTCAGAGATGGCACCTGATATACACAGACACAACATGGGGAGACATACCCTGAATTTCTTTTAACACATTTATTTTCTTGGACCACAGTTCCAGGTAGACAACTGCAAACTTGTTTACTTTGTTCACAGATTGTTTGGTTACGCCCCTTGCATCTATCTTTGGCTGTTTATTTCAGACATTGTCACATGTTATTGTTACCTGCACTAATGTGCACTTACATAAAAGAATACTGCTGCCTACCCTGTAGTGTGTCAACTGTCATCTTTGTCAACTAGAAGTTTTTATATCTATGTAATGATATGCGCAGCCACAGAGAAAATTAGAAAAAGAGGATCTCAAGTATTGTTTAATTGCGTAATATTAATAAGAGTAATAATACAGTTTACTATTATCAGTACTATTATTATTGCACAATTAAACAAGACTATAAGTTACGCTCCTAAAAAATTATTTTGAAGGTTGCGAAATCTTCCAGGAACTACTGCTTTTGTTCCCAGTATTTTATGATATTTATTTATAACTCAGCATGTTATGCTTATTGTTTTTATTGTTGTTGTTATTATTATCCTGAATTGCAAATAAATATACTATACTTGAAATAATTTTAAACAAATTAGGGACTCAAGGGACCTGAGCCATTGCACCTATATGTCATTATGTAATTATGTAATTATGTAATTATATAATAATGTAAAATAAAATAGAATATAATGAAGTATATATGTATGGATGTAAAATGTGTGTGTATATATACATGTATATAATTCATTTGTTGGTAAAGGGGAATTGGCGGTGGAGTGGAGGGGGGGGGGGGGGGGGGAAGGGGTTGTTTATTGTCTTTCACAGTTAGGCAGATGGCTTATTGTCTGTAATGTTGCAGTTAGTTGATTTTTCTATCATATAGAGAAAAAACATTCTAAAAATACCAGTGTGTGTGCGTGCGTGCGTGCGTGTGTGCGTGCATGCACATGGACGTGTTTGGGTGTCTGTGTGTAACCTCTATGATAGGATGTTATCAATATGTAGTCACACACGGGAGATAACTCTGTCACTGACCTCCCCAGGGGCACAGAACTTCAACGTAATCATCTTCGCCACGTACAGGACGGCCTGCAAGCTGAGGTTCATACAGAAACAGACTCACTGTGAGTCAGTCATTCAGTGGCACTTAATGTTGTTGTTTCCTTCTGATATTTACATTTTATATGAAATAATCTGGTTAGAGTAGACTGTATGTACTCTGAAGTTAAACACATTAAATAGGCTCTCACTACACAGCTGAACACATTGAACAGGTTCTTATTGCACAGCTACACACATTGAACAGGTTCTTATTGCACAGCTGAACACATTAAACAGGTTCTTATTGCACAGCTACACACACTGAATAGGTTCTTATTGCACAGCTACACACACTGAACAGGTTCTTACTGCACAGCTACACACATTGAACAGGTTCTTATTGCACAGCTACACACATTGAACAGGTTCTTATTGCACAGCTACACACATTGAATAGGTTCTCATTGCACAGCTACACACATTGAACAGGTTCTCATTGCACAGCTGAACACATTGAACAGGTTCTTACTGCACAGATACACACATTGAACAGGTTCTCATTGCAAAGCTACACACATTGAGCAGGTTCTTTTTTCACAGCTACACACATTGAACATGTTCTTTTTGCACAGCTACACACATTGAGCAGGTTCTTTTTGCACAGCTACACACATTGAGCAGGTTCTTTTTGCACAGCTACACACATTGAGCAGGTTCTTTTTGCACAGCTACACACATTGAACATGTTCTTTTTGCACAGCTACACACATTGAGCAGGTTCTTTTTGCACAGCTACACACATTGAGCAGGTTCTTTTTGCACAGCTACACACATTGAGCAGGTTCTTTTTGCACAGCTACACACATTGAGCAGGTTCTTATTGCACAGCTACACACATTGAGCAGGTTCTTATTGCACAGCTACACACATTGAATAGGTTCTTATTGCACAGCTACACACATTGAATAGGTTCTTACTACACAGCTTCACACATTGAACAGGTTCTTATTGCACAGCTACACACATTGAACATGTTCTTTTTGCACAGCTACACACATTGAATAGGTTCTCACTACACAGCTACACACATTGAACATGTTCTTATTGCACAGCTACACACATTGAATAGGTTCTCACTACACAGCTACACACATTGAATAGGTTCTCACTACACAGCTACACACATTCAATAGGTTCTTTTTGCACAGCTACACACATTGAATAGGTTCTTTTTACACAGCTACACACATTGAGCAGGTTCTTATTGCACAGCTACACACATTGAACAGGTTCTCACTACACAGCTACACACATTGAACAGGTTCTCACTACACAGCTACACACATTGAACATGTTCTCACTACACAGCTACACACATTGAATAGGTTCTCACTACACAGCTACACACATTGAATAGGTTCTCACTAAACAGCTACACACATTGAACAGGTTCTCACTAAACAGCTACACACATTGAACATGTTCTTATTGCACAGTTACACACATTGAATAGGTTCTCACTACACAGCTACACACATTGAATAGGTTCTTATTGCACAGCTACACACATTGAACATGTTCTTTTTGCACAGCTACACACATTGAATAGGTTCTCACTACACAGCTACACACATTGAATAGGTTCTCACTAAACAGCTACACACATTGAACAGGTTCTCACTAAACAGCTACACACATTGAACATGTTCTCATTGCACAGCTACACACATTGAATAGGTTCTCACTACACAGCTACACACATTGAATAGGTTCTTATTGCACAGCTACACACATTGAACAGGTTCTCATTGCACAGCTTCACACATTGAACAGGTTCTCATTGCACAGCTACACACATTGAACAGGTTCTCATTGCACAGCTACACACATTGAACATGTTCTTATAGCACAGCTACACACATTGAATAGGTTCTCACTACACAGCTACACACATTGAATAGGTTCTTATTGCACAGCTACACACATTGAACATGTTCTTATTGCACAGCTACACACATTGAACAGGTTCTCATTGCACAGCTACACACATTGAACAGGTTCTTATTGCACAGCTTCACACATTGAATAGGTTCTCACTACACAGCTACACACATTGAATAGGTTCTCACTAAACAGCTACACACATTGAATAGGTTCTCACTACACAGCTACACACATTGAATAGGTTCTTATTGCACAGCTACACACATTGAACATGTTCTTATTGCACAGCTTCACACATTGAACAGGTTCTCATTGCACAGCTACACACATTGAACATGTTCTTTTTGCACAGCTACACACATTGAACATGTTCTTATTGCACAGCTACACACATTGAACATGTTCTTTTTGCACAGCTACACACATTGAACATGTTCTTTTTGCACAGCTACACACATTGAACATGTTCTTATTGCACAGCTACACACATTGAACAGGTTCTTATTGCACAGCTACATACATTGAACAGGTTCTTATTGCACAGCTACATACATTGAATAAGTTCTTATTGCACAGCTACACACATTGAACATGTTCTCATTGCACAGCTACACACATTGAACAGGTTCTCAGTGCACAGCTGAACACATTGAACAGGTTCTCATTGCACAGCTACACACATTGAACAGGTTCCTATTGCACAGCTACACACATTGAACAGGTTCTTATTGCACAGCTACACACATGAACAGGTTTTCATTGCACAGCTACACACATTGAACAGGTTCTCAGTGCACAGCTACACACATTGAACAGGTTCTCAGTGCACAGCTGAACACATTGAACAGGTTCTCAGTGCACAGCTACACACATTGAACAGGTTCCTATTGCACAGCTACACACATTGAACATTTTCTTTTTGCACAGCTTCACACATTGAACATGTTCTCATTGCACATTGTGTGGTGGCATGAGTATGTCAATTTGTGTGTGTGTGTGTGTGTGTGTGTGCAGTGTGGGAATGTGGCTGTAGTGTAGTGTATCATTTTCTGACATTGTGTGGCGTGGCATGTGTATGTCAATGTGTATGTCAATGTGTGTGTGTGTGTGTGTGTGTGTTTGTGCAGTGTGGGAATGTGTTGTGTAGTGTATCATTCTGACATTGTGTGGTGTGGCATATGTATGTCAATGTGTGTGTGTGTGTGCAGTGTGGGAATGTGCATGTGTGCAGTGTGCAAATGTGTTGTGTAGTGTATTATTCTGACATTGTGTGGTGTGCTTACAGTATGCCAGATTGACATCTGGAACATGATTGAAGCTTTCCGAGAGAATGCCCTGCACACTCTAGAGCCCCATAGTGAGATCGACACGGCTCGCCTGGAAGCTCTCCTCTACACGGCCTTCTCCCAGCTCAACAAACGCCTGCCCCAGGTGCAGCTGGTCAACGTAGACCGTTGTGTCAGCCTGACTCTCAACTGGCTCATGTCTGCATATGACAGGTACCATCTCTGATATGTCTGCATACGACAGGTATCATCTCTGACATGTCTGCATCTGACAGGTATCATTTCTAATATGTCTGCATTCGACAGGTATCATCTCTGACATGTCTGCATACGACAGGTATCATCTCTGACATGTCTGCATATGACAGGTATCATCTCTGACATGTCTGCATACGACAGGTATCATCTCTGACATGTCTACATATGACAGGTATCATCTCTGACATGTCTGCATATGACAGGTACCATCTCTGACATGTCTACATATGACAGGTACCATCTCTGACATGTCTACATATGACAGGTACCATCTCTGACATGTCTACATATGACAGGTACCATCTCTGACATGTCTACATATGACAGGTACCATCTCTGACATGTCTGCATACGACAGGTATCATCTCTGACATGTCTACATATGACAGGTACCATCTCTGACATGTCTGCATATGACAGGTACCATCTCTGACATGTCTACATATGACAGGTACCATCTCTGACATGTCTACATATGACAGGTACCATCTCTGACATGTCTACATATGACAGGTACCATCTCTGACATGTCTACATATAACAGGTACCATCTCTGACATGTCTGCATATGACAGGTATCATCTCTGACACGTCTGCATTTGACAGGTACCATCTCTGACATGTCTGCATGTGACAGGTACCATCTCTGACTTGTCTGCATATGACAGGTATCATCTCTGACATGTCTGCATACGACAGGTATCATCTCTGACATGTCTGCAAATGACAGGTACCATCTCTGACAGGTATCATCTCTCATATGTCTGCTCCTTAGTTTGTGTCTGCATACGACAGGTACCATCTCTGAAATATCGCCGCCTCATTTTGTGTCTATGTATGACATCTACCATCTCTGATAAATCGCCGCCTCAGTTTGTGTCTATGTATGACATGCACCATCTCTGATATATCGCCGCCTCAGTTTGTGTCTATGTATGACATCTACCATCTCTGATATATCGCCGCCTCAGTTTGTGTCTATGTATGACATCTACCATCTCTGATATATCGCCCCCTTTGTTTGTGTCTGTATATGACATTTACCATCTCTGATTTATAGCCTTCTCAGTTTGTGTCTATGTATGACATGTACCATCTCTGATATATCGCCCCCTCAGTTTGTGTCTATGTATGACATGTACCATCTCTGATATATCGCCCCCCTAGTTTGTGTCTATGTATGACATGTACCATCTCTGATATATCGCCCCCTCAGTTTGTGTCTATGTATGACATCTACCATCTCTGATATATCGCCGCTTCAGTTTGTGTCTATGTATGACATGTACCATCTCTGATATATCGCCACCTCAGTTTGTGTCTATGTATGACATGTACCATCTCTGATATATCGCCCCCTCAGTTTGTGTCTATGTATGACATGCACCATCTCTGATATATCGCCGCTCAGTTTGTGTCTATGTATGACATCTACCATCTCTGATATATCACCCCCTTAGTTTGTGTCTATGTATGACATGTACCAACTCTAATATATCGCTCCCTTTGTTTGTGTCTATATATGACATTTACCATCTCTGATATATAGCCTTCTCAGTTTGTGTCTATGTATGACATGTACCATCTCTGATATATCGCCCCCTCAGTTTGTGTCTATGTATGACATGTACTATCTCTGATATATCACCCCCACAGTTTGTGTCTATGTATGACATGTACCATCTCTGATATATCGCCCCCCTAGTTTGTGTCTATGTATGACATCTACCATCTCTGATATATCGCCCCCTTAGTTTGTGTCTATGTATGACATGTACCAACTCTAATGTATCCATCCCTTTGTTTGTGTCTATATATGGCATTTACCATCTCTGATATATAGCCTTCTCAGTTTGTGTCTATGTATGACATGTACCATCTCTGATATATCGCCCCCTCAGTTTGTGTCTAAGTATGACATCTACCATCTCTGATATATCACCCCTCAGTTTGTGTCTATGTATGACATGTACCATCTCTGATATATCGCCCCCCTAGTTTGTGTCTATGTATGACATGTACCATCTCTGATATATCGCCCCCTCTGTTTGTGTCTATGTATGACATCTACCATCTCTGATATATCACCCCCTCAATTTGTGTATATGTATGACATGTACCAACTCTGATATATCGCCGCCTCAGTTTGTGTCTATGTATGATATATCGCCGCCTCAGTTTGTGTCTATGTATTTGTGTCTATGTATTTGTGTCTATATATAACATGTACCTTCTCTGACATGTTATTTCCTTGGTCTTTTTCTCTTTTAGTGGTTTATCTTAAGGAAATAAATGTTCAATGGTTGGTGTCTGCTCAGTGATTTCTATTTGCTAAATGAAGGTGATGCTGTCAGTGACACAGACAAGAATCATTAATATCTTTTGACAATGTTATAACATAACAAGCTAATTTACTGCTAAACTGAACATAGAAGACTCAGAAAAATGTAACCATGGAACTGGTGACATGACAGCTAAACACAATAGACACTAACAATTGTAACCATAGAACTGGTGAAATGACAGCTAAACATAAAAGACACCAACAAATGTAGCCATGGAACTGGTGAAATGACAGCTAAAAATAAAAGACACCAACAAATGTAACCATGGAACTGGTGAAATGACAGCTAAACACAAAAGCCACCAACAAATGTAACCATGGAACTGGTGAAATGACAGCTAAACATAAAAGATACCAACAAATGTGACCATGGAACTGATGAAATGACAGCTAAACACAAAAGACACCAACAAATGTAACCATGGGACTGGTGAAATGACAGCTAAACACAAAAGACACCAACAAATGTAACCATAGAACTGGTGAAATGACAGCTAAACACAAAAGACACTGACAAATGTAAACATGGAACTGGTGATATGACAGCTAAACATAAAAGACACCAACAAATGTAAACATGGAACTAGTGACATGACAGCTAAACACAAAAGACACCTACAAATGTAACCATGGAACTAGTGAAATGACAGCTAAACACTAGCTGATAGAGTCTCCAACATTCCTACAACAGAGAAAACTGTTCCAGCTTACAGGTCTCATTCATGATTGTCTTTGTGATTTTAGTGACACTTGTTTGATGTTTAATTGTCAGAGAATCTACAGGTCACATTCATATTGTCTTTGTGATTTTAGTGACACTTGTTTGATGTTTGATTGTCAGAGAATCTACAGGTCTCATTCATGATTGTCTTAGTGATGATAGTGACACTTGTTTGATGTTTGATTGTCAGAGAATCTATGGGTCACATTCATGATTGTCTTTGTGATTTTAGTGACACTTGTTTGATGTTTGATTGTCAGAGAATCTACGGGTCACATTCATGATTGTCTTAGTGATGATAGTGACACTTGTTTGATGTTTGATTGTCAGAGAATCTACGGGTCACATTCATGATTGTCTTTGTGATTTTAGTGACACTTGTTTGATGTTTGATTGTCAGAGAATCTACGGGTCACATTCATGATTGTCTTAGTGATGATAGTGACACTTGTTTGATGTTTGATTGTCAGAGAATCTACGGGTCACATTCATGATTGTCTTAGTGATGATAGTGACACTTGTTTGATGTTTGATTGTCAGAGAATCTACGGGTCACATTCATGATTGTCTTTGTGATTTTAGTGACACTTGTTTGATGTTTGATTGTCAGAGAATCTACGGGTCACATTCATGATTGTCTTTGTGATTTTAGTGACACTTGTTTGATGTTTGATTGTCAGAGAATCTACGGGTCACATTCATGATTGTCTTTGTGATTTTAGTGACACTTGTTTGATGTTTGATTGTCAGAGAATCTACGGGTCACATTCAAGCATTCGCAGTCAAGGTAGCTCTAGCACACTTGTCCTCTGGAAAGTTGGTGGATAAACTCAGATGTGAGTATGCTCTGTGCACACAAGACTTTGATTAGGTGTGCTGTGTGTATACAAGACTTTGATTAGGTGTGCTGTGTGTATACAAAACTTTACAGGTGTGCTATGTGTATACAAGACTTTACAGGTGTGCTGTGTGTATATATTCACAACTTTTACGAGTGTGCTGTGTGTATATATACAAGACTTTTACGAGTGTGCTGTGTGTATATATATATAAGACTTTTACAAGTGTGCTGTGTGTATATATACAAGACTTTTACAAATGTGCTGTGTGTATACAAGACTTTACAAGTGTGCTGTGCGTATATATTCAAAACTTTTACGAGTGTGCTGTGTGTATACATACAAGACTTTGACAAGTGTGCTGTGTAAATATACAAGACTTTTACAGGTGTGCTGTGTGTATATATACAAGACTTTTACAAGTGGGCTGTGTGTATATATACAAGACTTTTACGAGTGTGCTGTGTGTTTATATACAAGACTTTTACAAATGTGCAGTGTGTATATATACAAGACTTTTACAGGTCTGCAGTGTGTATATATACAAGACTTTTACAAGTGTGCTGTGTGTATATATTCACAAGACAGTGTGCTGTGTGTATGCAAGACTTTTACAAGTGTGCTGTGTGTATGCAAGACTTTTACAAGTGTGCTGTATGTATGCAAGACTTTTACAAGTGTGCTGTGTGTATGCAAGACTTTTACAAGTGTGCTGTATGTATGCAAGACTTTTACAAGTGTGCTGTGTGTGTGCAAGACTTTTACAAGTGTGCTGTGTGTGTGCAAGACTTTTACAAGTGTGCTATGTGTGTGCAAGACTTTTACAAGTGTGCTGTGTGTATGCAAGACTTTGATTGGGTGTGCTTTGTATGTACAGTCGGTGCTGTTTTGAAACTAGACACCTGGATCATGTATATACAAGAGGGTGGACTGTTTGTGTCATGTACACACAAAAAGATGTTGCTATTGTATCATGAATGCACAAGACAAGAATGTGAATATTTTATGTACACACAAGACATTGGAGTTGTTATATTAAGTACACAATAGACAGCGATACAAACTGACCAAGTACACAACAGACAGTGATATAAACTGACCATGTACACAACAGACAGTGATATAAACTGACCATGTACACAATAGACAGTGATACAAACTGACCATGTACATAATAGACAGTGATATAAACTGACCATGTACAAATAGACAGTGATATAAACGGACCATGTACACAATAGACAGTAATATAAACTGACCATGTACATAATAGACAGTGATATAAACTGACCATGTACACAATAGACAGTGATATAAACTGACCATGTACATAACAGACAGTGATATAAACTGACCAAGTACATAATAGACAGTGATATAAACTGACCAAGTACACAATAGACAGTGATACAAACTGACCAAGTACACAATAGACAGTGATACAAACTGACCATGCACACAATAGACAGTGATACAAACTGACCAAGTACACAATAGACAGTGATACAAACTGACCAAGTACACAACAGACAGTGATATAAACTGACCAAGTACACAATAGACAGTGATATAAACTGACCAAGTACACAATAGACAGTGATATAAACTGACCATGTACACACTAGACAGTGATACAAACTGACCAAGTACACAACAGACAGTGATATAAACTGACCATGTACACAACAGACAGTGATACAAACTGACCAAATACACAATAGACAGTGATATAAACTGACCAAGTACACAATAGACAGTGATATAAACTTACCAAGTACACAATAGACAGTGATATAAACTGACCGTGTACACAATAGACAGTGATATATACTGACCATGTACACAACAGACAGTGATATAAACTGACCGTGTACACAATAGACAGTGATATAAACTGACCATGTACACAATAGACAGTGATATAAACTGACCAAGTACACAATAGACAGTGATATAAACTGACTATGTACACACAAGACTGTAGTATAAATTTGCAATGAAACAGTCAAATGTGAATACTGTCCAGGCAAGACACTAAACCTGTCATTCCTCCGATTTTGTCAATTTTTCCAGATATTTTCACCCTAATATCCGACTCCTATGGCCACATGATCAGATCTCGTTTCGACGAATATCTCCGTGACCTTCTGCTGCTTCCAGCAGCGGTCAACGAAGGGACATCATTCAGGTATTCTGAGGAAGCAGCAAGAACATTTTTTGACTCAGTAAGAAATTGTAACAGCATTTATTAGAGTTAAACGGCAGTTTAGTTTGTTTTGTAACTGGCATATTGTGCATACTTTTTAAAATTCTTTTATTTGCATTTCACGGATGGACAATTCAATTAATATTTGTCTACTTGACAAACATCAGTTTTTCACACAGCATTGCATTGAAGTGTGTTATGTTCATTTAATAAGATGCATGTTATGAATACCAAGTCAAAAACAAAAGCATGGATGGTAAAATGTGTGCGCGCGCACACACACACTCACACACACGAAAACCCATTCACTCACTTACATATGCACATAGGCACCCAATACACACATACATACACACACATTCACATACATACATACACATACACACATGCGTACATATACACACACACACACACACACACACACAGACACCCTCTCAAAAACACATACTTTAAGACACACGTGCAAACAACCCAGATACATACAGACACACACACACAAACACACACATAACCGCACACAAAGACACCAACAAACACACACACACAGATGCACACAGACATAAACCCACACACACACAGCCACATGCACATACACACGCACAGGCAGGGACACACACACAGGCAGGGACACACACACAGGAACATATGCAACACTCACACATACACAGACAAAAACACACACACACACATGTACACAGTCACATACGCAGATGCACATATGCAGACACACATATGCACACAGACATACATGCAGACATACAAACTGACACAAACAGAGACACTCGCAGATGCAGACATTATAAATAGACACACCCATAAAGACTTACACAGATACACCTGCAGCCAAACACACAGACCCACTTACACACACACACACAGACACACACGTAGGGACACACATAGACACACACTCAAAGTCACACACATACAAACACATCCACAGATGAAAAAAAAAAAACAGACCCACACACACAGACACACGCACTGACACAAACATACAGATACACACATAGAGACATACACAACACTCACACAAACACACACATGCAGACACACATGCACAGACACACACACACACATACACACACAGAGACACATGCAGCCACACATAAAGATACATGTACAAAACACACACTAATAGACACATACTCACAGACACACCAACACATAGACATGAACATAGACACACCAACACATAGACATGAACACAGACACACCAACACATAGACATGAACACAGACACACCAACACATAGACATGAACACAGACACACCAACACATAGACATGAACACAGACACACACAGGCACATCCACACCCACACACACAGACAGACACGCACATGAACAGGCACGTGGACACCATACAGACTCACACACAGACACACTCACATAATCACATATACGCATACATATCATACACACTTTATTTATTTAATTATAAACTGGAAATGCAATATGGACAGGTAACCTGATGTATGCAGTCAGTAGGCAATAGCTTGGCTGCTTGTGCCAGTGACATGGTAAAACATGAGACCAAATTCCAAATGTATCTCTAATTGTTGTGCTTTCAGTCATTATGGTGGATAGGTAGGCTTTCTTGTATTCTTTTTGGGTCATATCAAATTTGTTGCTCCTGACAGAATTTATCCATTGTATTTTAATCCATATCTAGACTGAAAAGGCAAAGTTCCATCTTCAGCTACTGAGCTGAGTGTGCACTAGAAGTTGCTGGTTTCATTTACAATGTTCTTCAGCCGTGCCCAAGTGCATTTCTGGTGGCAGACAGTTTGTGTTGGCACTTACCACAGCTACATTATAAATGTAATGAGTGCACATGCTGTTGGCTTTACTGAGACTCCAGTCTGTGTCACTTTTTGTAACATTTCACAAGGGACTGTCATGGACATTCTCTGTGTGGTATTCTTTGGGTATTCTCTGTGGCACAGGAATGGAGCAACCACAGGGTGACCCACTGGCTATGAAGTTGGAACCATGATTACCTTATTTGTAGCTTTAATTAGTGAGATAAACACTGGACAGATCATGAAAGGAACCTGTTGGTAAAACTGAGATAAAAACTGGACAGATCATGAAAGGAACCCTGTTGGTGAAACTGAGATAAAAATTGGACAGATCATGTAATAAACCCTGTTGGTGAAACTGAGATAAACACTGCACAGATCATGAAATGAACTCTGTGAGTGAAACTGAGATAAACAGATAGTAGAAATGATCAAATGAACTCTTTTGCAGAATCCTGTCACTGTCAATGACTTCCTGTCTGTGATGATGGCCATCCCTGGGAGACAGTGCCTGATGTGGCTGCCAGCTCTCAACCGGATGGCGCATGTGGAGAGTGGTGAGTGCCTGCCGGTGGTGTCTGTCGCTAGCTACACAACACACACAACATTGCTGCTTACTTGTATGCAATGTTGCTGCTTACTTGTACACAATATTGCTACAGATTCATATGCAACTACACAACACAGCAGTCAGTTTTTGCATTTTTTGTTTGTTCAAAAATTAGTCAAGGATTCAGTTTACAGAACACAGATATTTGTGTAAGTGCTACACTCTCCTCCTATAAGAAAAACGTTGAATCCGTGCAGAGTGCACAAACCTTGTAGCATCTGCACAGATCCAGAAATATATAGATACAATTGTGTAACAGTTTTCTTCAATGTAAAATAGGCAGCAATCAGTGTCTGTAGCTTAGGTGCTATGAACAGTTTCATAATTCTGTTTTATACAGAGTACACTTAAGCTGCAGGCAGTTTGACAGAAGTCAGCTTTGCACTGTTCTTGTCGGTGGTAAAGCAACACAAAATGACCCAGTAAACCTGCAGACAGACAACAAATAATGGAACTGGTTTGCCCAGGCCTGTCAGACAGACAACAAATGCTGGAACTGGTTTGCTCAGGCCTGCCAGACAGACAGTCAACAAACACTGGCACTGGTTTGCCCAGGCCTGTCAGACAGACAACAAATACTAGAACTGGTTTACCCATGCCTGTCAGACAGACAATAAATACTAGAATTGGTTTACCCAGGCCTGTCAGACAGTCAACAAATACTAGAACTGGTTTGTCCAAGCCTGTCAGATAGTCAACAAATACAGGAACTGGTTTACCCATGCCTGTCAGACAGACAACAAATACTAGAATTGGTTTGTCCAAGCCTGTCAGACAGACAACAAATACTGGAAATGGTTTGTCCAGGCCTGTCAGACAGTCAACAAATACTAGAACTGGTTTGTCCAGGCCTGTCAGACAGACAACAAATATTAGAACTGGTTTGTTCAGGCCTGTCAGACAGAAAACAAATACTAGAACTGGTTTGTCCAGGCCTGTCAGACAGTCAACAAATACTAGAACTGGTTTGCCCAGGCCTGTCAGACAGACAACAAATACTAGAATTGGTTTGTCCAAGCCTGTCAGACAGACAACAAATGCTGGAACTGGTTTGTCCAGGCCTGTCAGACAGTCAACAAATACTAGAACTGGTTTGTCTAGGCCTGTCAGACAGACAACAAATACTAGAACTGGTTTGTCCAGGCCTGTCAGACAGACATCAAATACTAGAACTGGTTTGTCCAGGCCTGTCAAATAGACAACAAATACTAGAATTGGTTTACCCATGCCTGTCAGACAGACAATAAATACTAGAATTGGTTTGTCCAAGCCTGTCAGACAGACAACAAATACTGGAACTGGTTTGTCCAGGCCTGTCAGACAGTCAACAAATACTAGAACTGGTTTGTCCAGGCCTGTCAGACAGACAACAAATACTAGAACTGGTTTGTCCAGGCCTGTCAGACAGACATCAAATACTAGAACTGGTTTGTCCAGGCCTGTCAGACAGACAACAAATACTAGAATTGGTTTACCCATGCCTGTCAGACAGACAATAAATACTAGAATTGGTTTATCCAGGCCTGTCAGAAAGACAACAAATACTGGAACTGGTTTGTCCAGGCCTGTCAGACAGACAACAAATACTGGAACTGGTTTGTCCAGGCCTGTCAGACAGACAACAAATACTAGAACTGGTTTGCTTAGGCCTGTCAGACAGACAACAAATACTGGAACTGGTTTGTCCAGGCCTGTCAGACAGACAACAAATACTGGAACTGGTTTGTCCAGGCCTGTGAAAGGTTCACAACTGAGAACAAGGACAACAGCCTGTTCATCCTCATGGTTCAATTTCCAGCTGCTGGGAACTGTTTCACATAAGCACTAATCACCCCCCCCCCCCCACCCCTTTTCCCACTTGTGAAGAGTAGATGTCTGGACAGACTGCAGAAAACCTTCCTCATTCTTTCATTACCAGTTGTTGTTATTGTTGTTGTTGTTATTGTTGTTGTTGTAAACATCCACACTAGCAATTCATGTTGATCTGTTCAGATTCGAGATAGAAGTAGAAACATCACAGCTGATCTGTTCAGATTAGAGATAGAAGTAGAAACTTCACAGCTGATCTGTTTAGATTAGAGATAGAAGTAGGAACATTACAGTTGATCTGCTCATATTAAAGATAGAAGTAGAAAAATCGCAGCTGATCTGCTCAGATTAAAGATAGAAGTAGAAACATCACAGTTGATCTGCTTAGATTAAAGATAGAAGTAAAAACATCACAGCTGATCTGTTCAGATTAAAGATAGAAGTAGAAACATCACAGCTGATCTGCTCACATTAGAGATAGAAGTAGAAACATCACAGCTGATCTGTTCAGATTAGAGATAGAAGTAGAAACATCACAGCTGATCTGCATAGATTAGAGATAGAAGTAGAAACATCACAGCTGATCTGTTCAGATTTGAGATAGAAGTAGAAACATCACAGCTGATCTGCTCAGATTAGAGATAGAAGTAGAAACATCACAGCTGATCTGTTCAGATTAGAGATAGAAGTAGAAATATCACAGCTGATCTGTTCAGATTAGAGATAGATTTAGAAACATCACAGCTGATCTGCTCAGATTAAAGATAGAAGTAGAAACATCACAGCTGATCTGCACAGATTAGAGATAGAAGTAGAAACATCACAGCTGATCTGCTCAGATTGGAGATAGAAGTAGAAACATCACAGTTGATCTGCTCAGATTAGAGATAGAAGTAGAAACATCACAGTTGATCTGCTCAGATTAGAGATAGAAGTAGAAACATCACAGCTGATCTGTTCAGATTAGAGATAGAAGTAGGAACATCACAGCTGATCTGATCAGATTAGAGATAGAAGTAGGAACATCACAGCTAATTTGTTCAGATTAGAGATAGAAGTAGAAACATCACAGCTGATCTGTTCAGATTAGAGATAGAAGTAGGAACATCACAGCTGATCTGTTCAGATTAGAGACAGAAGTAG